ATATCTACTTGAAATACTTTTAAAATCTCGTCATTGGATAAATTTTTTTTCTCATTTTTTATTACTTATTTTTAACAAATTAGTTTGTTTTTATTTTTATTTTATAAAAAAAAATTTATTGTATTGAAAACTTTTTATAAATACTCTAATATAGTAGTAGTATTTAAAAAAAAATTTTTACCTAAAGATTTCATAGGTATCACTACTACTTGGAGTACTTTTCAATCTTAACGTCAAATAAAAATTTTTTTCTTATTTTTATTATTTTTGTATTATTTTATAAGATTTATTTTAAAAATAACAAAATTATCACAAATTTTTACTATATATTTCATTATTTATTTTTATTAATAATTATTATAAAACAACAAAAATTTATTCTAGCAAATTTAAATATTTTAACATGCATAAATATTAATAATAAAAATTTAAAATAACAAAAATCATATATCAAAAAAATATTTAAAAAATTCAAAAAAATATTTTTTTACTTGAACCAGACTGGTCAACGTTGGTCTGGTTCGGATGGTTCAATGGTTCGAGGCCAGTCTGGTTCGATCTAGGCTGATTCAGTGGAATCGATCAAAAACTAAAGGTCAAGTGAGTCACTAGGTCAGGTGTGCGGACCTCGAGTCAGGTTGTGGGCTGACAAGCAGATCCTTGGGGTTCAAAACGATGTCGTTTTAGTGATTTAATGAAACAACGTCGTTTTGGCTTTCAGACTTCTATAAAAAGTCAAAAAAAATTTCTTTATTTCATTTTTTTCTCTTTTTTCTCTATCTATCTCTCTCTTTTTCTCAGAGCCTTTCTCTAGATCGAATGGTTGGTTATCGACTGCTGCTTTGGCCATCATCAGTGGTCGTCAGTCACCATTGTTGGCAATCGAAAAAATTTTAAAAAATACCAAAACACTCTCATCGATCTTCTCTCATTAGATCCGACCTTCTTTTCACTGAGAACAAACCCTGATCAACGTAGATTGGGGTTTAAAGTTTCGGTATCCCTTTTTTTTATAAACTAAAATTAACTTTTTTTTTTGTTTTTTGTTACAGAAGCTTAACGTTGATGGTTCCTCCCTATAGGGAGGACTGTGTTTTTGTTTTTTGTTCGTTTGTTTTTTTTTTTTTTTTTTGCTTCTGATGGTTAGGGATTTTGTAGGATGTTTAGGGTGCTTGCAAAGGGGTAGCTTTGCGCAAAGAGGCTGTGGAAGGGTTATGGCTCTATGGGGTCCAGTAAGGGTGAAGGCTCATGGTACAAAGACTGATGCCTGGGTCTTTTAAGGTTAAGGGTGTGCAGGTGCTTGAGATTTGGGCGTGAAAGAGAGCTGAGGTGCCGACGAGTAAGGCAAATAAGGGTTTGAAACCAGGATTTCCTCATTTTGGTCTCTTTCTGGATTATGGGTTTTATAGGGTCGGTTAGGGGAGTAGGTGGTGGTTGGTTTGGGGTAAGTTTCAAGAGTCAAAGGATTAAAAGGGAAGGTATAATGGTGATGGGGCTATAATTCTGGTGAACAGAGGGTGGATAGGGTGTGGCAGTGGTATCGTGCACGACACCCAGTGCCATCCACCCTTTTTTTTTCTTTTTTTGTATTATTATTTTGTATTTAATAAATTAATAAAATAAAAGATAAATAGGCCTTGGGATTAAAACAAAATTGGACCTCAGACCCAATCAAAATTAAGTCTTAGACTCAGTTGAAATGAAATTGGGCTTTCAGCTTGCGAACCTGATATACCTGACAAATTTTAAAACAAGACCCAATTCAAAATCTGAACAAATTTAATGTCTACACTCGAGCTTCTCTTCTTTTATGTTCTACTTTTCTTTTTCTATCTTAGGTGGATGCTTTATAATCTTGCCTATAGTCCATTCTAGATTGATCTTATCTTCTTTATTCCATAAATCTTTTCAACTGACTTCATCTTATCAAAGCTTCAATCTCATTTTTTAGGTTAACACAATCTCATTGTTATAACCTATATCTCTATGAAAGGTACATCCTTTAGTCGAATCCCTCCTTATGTTTTATCTCAATGATTTTGGTCATTTGAGGTCAGGATTTTTTTCAATTCGCATCAGAATTCTCTTTAATGAGGTATTTAATGCAGTATAACTTTTTTCTCCATTATGACTTCTAGCCCTATTTTGTTTCCTTCTTAGGGGAGAATATGATCGAAAATAAGAGATAAGCCTCTCTCACATCAGTCGTCAAGGAAAATAGATGAGCCTCTCTCACCTTGATTAGGCTCTCAACAAAAGATAGGCTGGGCGCATGGGGATTGTTTGCTTTTCAGGTAGGAAAAAAAGAACAGAGATCACATATTTTTTAGCTGCAGGTATTCGAAAATTGTGTGGAAGCAGGTGTTGGGTTTATGCAACTTACGCAAGGAAGTCGTTGGATGGGAAGTTGAGTTTCAGTGGGCAATAAAGAAGCTAAGAGGAAAGTCTCTGATATCTTTTATACTTGGATTAACTTTAGGAATGTACATATTGGAATTTAGAAAGAAACAGGAGGATGTACATCTTAGAAGAGCAAATTGTAAGGCAGATAATGGACGTAGTTCGAATAGATTAACTGGATTAAAGGGCCTTGCTCTTGATAATATAAATAAAAAACTATGTGAGATATGTTTGAATTGTAAATTGAAGTGTGCTGTGATTATAACTTTCTGACAAGTTTTATGCTTCTTGAACAACGAATCCACCACTTACTAAAAAAAAAAATCCTTTTCCATTTCTTTTGTTGCTGGACCATAAATGAAAAAGAACCAGAACCACAGAATCCAGGCCTAGCAGAGATATCTACAAGGGATTCACAACCCATACGAGTAAATATCACCTTCAATTCAATTAATGGTTCTTATGCCGACTCAAGTTATATGAACCTCACCTGATAATCCAAGTATCATTAAACGTCATTGGCAGATAAATTTGGCCATTTAAAATTGGGAGTGGTTTAGGTGCGCTTAAGCTTAGCTAGATTGGAATTGATGGTGGCCTCTAACGCCAAGGTGGGTAGGTTCATTAATGTTCACGTACCTTTCCATGGTAGTAGGTGAGCCCCAACTGGTCTCTTTCTCAACCATTTTTCTTTTTATAGAAACAAAAACAAAACTTTTTTCCTAGTGACCATCACCATGTTTCGTGCACTCACGAGCTACCATAAATCTATTTAATTAATTGGTTTACCGTATACAATATATCAAGAAAAAAAAAAAAAAGTCTTGGCTTTTGTCCAATAAGAAATCGATGCGTATCATTTACTATATGCATGTTAAATTGTTACGAATGGGATAGTTTGCATCTTAGGCAATTTGAATAACAATTTTAGGTTTCAAATAGCTTCGAAAAAGATTATTACCAAAATAAATTTTTGACAAAATGATTTAGTCAATCCCATATATATATATATATATATATATATATTACAAGGAAGAGTTTTATTTATTAAAAAATAAAAAAAATTATTTCAAATTATTTAGATGATATTAATTTTCAAAAAATTTAATAAAAAATTTTGATTTTTAATGTATTTAATATTAAAATTGAATTTTTTAATAAAATTAATATTTCATAATTTTAATGTCAACAAATAAAATATAATTTTAAAATATAAAAATAAAAATTTTAGATATTTAAAAAAAGATATAATTTTAATACATAAAAAAATGAACAAAAATAATGGAAAAAAGAAAGTACTATTATTGCATCCAATTTATTCTAGCGAATTTAACGTCTAAAATTCAAAGATTGATCATACATAGAAAATGAAGTCATTAAGCTCTAAAATATTCAAAGATTTATATTTACTAATCTACTTCAACATTTTTCAATCCTGTCAATTTTTGATATCTTTTTTAATATAATCAAAGATTTTAGGACTTTTATAAATTTTTATATAACCTATTATTTCTGTCCTTCCACGATTGATAAATATAAGCACACTCAAAGTAATTCTAATTTTCTTAATATATATATAAAGAGGTAAAAAAGAACTATTATGAGGTAATACAAGTAAAACAAACAAGCAAGTGATGGAAAAAATCAACCATAGATGTAATAAAGTAGTAATTAAGAAGCGGTTTATTTTAATAAAATAATAATATTATTATATTAATAGCAGTTATTATTATGAATATGAATGAAGGGTCTGAAGACTTATCTAAAGATGAAATTAAGGTAAAATTAGAGAAGAAGAATAATAAATGATTAAAGTTAAAGGTGATAGATGTATTGTGAATGAAATTAGTTTAGAGGATAAGATTTTAATATTTTATTTATAAAATTTAAATTTAAATTTTGTTATCGAATAATTATATAAATAGAAAAAAATTATAATCTACTATTATCCTAAATTATATAAAAAAATTATCTTCTCTCACATTTTGTTCGGCCAAAAAGAAATGGTAGATGTAAGTGTCACGGCCCATGACTCCCAATTTAGAGAGAATTTTTGGGTTTGAACCAGCTTGCGGATAATAACATAATGATGTAGGATGGGGCAACTGCAACGCCACTGCCCCCGTCAGAAAAAATCTTACTCCGTATTTATGTATTTATTTATTTGAAGTTGATGTCGATTAACGCCGTTACATCTGAAGCGTCAAGACTCAGTCTTTGGCCCACTTGAGGTTTGACTTTGTCTTTAATAAAATAGGAAGAATTAGTATTTGGTTTGCTTCTAATCGCCAACTTAGACCGGTAGGCGGTCCATGTGCAAATATTAAGATTTTATTCTTCGCCTGATCTGATCATGTCATGACCGTGTACTAGTAGTATACATATAGCCTCATACCAGATTCCAGATACCCTTGAATTGGCTAGATTCGAATACCGAGATCAATGATGTAAATTAACAAAACGACAACAGTGTCATGGTTCTTGCGCCATTGCTTTCTTCACGCAATTGAAAATTTAAGTATTGGAGTTTTTTATTTTTATTTTTAATTTTTTTCCTCACCAACCCCTCTCACCTACTACTCCCCCACAAACGCAGACGCAAAGGCTCATCCAGAACAGATCCTTTTTCAAATGTCGAAAAAATCCAGGAAATGGGCCGTCAAATCAAACGGCGTCAAACTCGACAGTTCACAGCTCACCCACTTCCCCAAAACGCACACATGACCACAAGATCCACCTAACGCCTACCATATCAAACCGTCGTCGCCACAAGCCCCTTTCAAACCCCCTTTACCTGTATCTAGTTATCTGCTTGTCTATAAAAGCTCGCTCCCTTCCCAACTTCTTCACCCACCAGTTTCTTCTCCACCAAAACCAACTAGCGACAGCAGACCAACAATGGATCTCCTCCTCTTGGAGAAGAGCCTTCTAGGCATCTTCGTGGCGGTGGTAGTAGCCATCACCATCTCTAAACTCCGGGGCAAGCGTTTCAAGCTCCCTCCTGGACCTTTACCCGTGCCAGTCTTCGGCAACTGGCTCCAAGTGGGTGATGACTTGAACCACCGAAACCTGACAGGCTTGGCCAAGAAATTTGGTGACATATTTTTACTTCGAATGGGGCAGCGTAATCTAGTGGTGGTGTCTTCACCAGAGCTAGCAAAAGAGGTACTCCATACGCAGGGAGTGGAATTCGGATCAAGAACCCGGAACGTGGTGTTTGATATATTCACGGGTAAGGGTCAGGATATGGTGTTTACAGTTTACGGTGAGCACTGGAGGAAAATGAGGCGGATCATGACCGTCCCATTTTTCACCAACAAGGTTGTCCAGCAGTACAGGTTCGGATGGGAGGCTGAGGCTGGTAGTGTAGTGGAGGATGTCAAGAACAATCCTGAGGCAGCCACCAACGGAATCATTTTGAGGAGGAGGTTGCAGCTGATGATGTACAACAACATGTACAGAATCATGTTCGACAAAAGGTTCGAGAGTGAAGATGATCCTTTGTTTGTTAGGCTCAAGGCTTTGAACGGAGAGAGGAGTCGATTGGCACAGAGTTTTGAGTACAATTATGGAGATTTTATTCCCATCTTGAGGCCCTTCTTGAGAGGCTACTTGAAGATCTGCAAGGAGGTTAAGGAGAGGAGGTTGCAGCTCTTCAAGGACCACTTCGTCGAAGACAGAAAGTAAGTTGTTGATTGATACAGCAATTTGTGTGCGGGTTTCTTTTTGTTTACTAATTTGGAAATGACAGGCTGGTAATAAGTTGTACCCATCAAATTTAAGTGATTCTAATTCATATTTATTTTTTCAGGAGACTTGCAAGCACAAAAAGCATGAACAACGAAGGATTGAAATGTGCCATAGATCATATTCTGGATGCTCAACAGAAGGGGGAGATCAATGAGGACAACGTTCTTTATATTGTTGAGAATATCAATGTTGCGGGTAATGCTGTGCTCTCTCTGTCCTCTTTATTTTCTACTATTACGGAAATTTGTCCTTATCTATGGAATACAAACTAGCTACTTCTTTTTGCTTATATATTTTATCTAATTTTGATTGTAAATTTTAAGAAATTATTATAAAAAAAATTTAAATTAGGTTTTGACTTTTATTGATTTGAAATATTTATCCTTAAGTTGAAAATTTTTTTTAAAAATGGATACTTATAATTAAGGATACTATAAAAGTAAGAATGATTTCTTTGTGTTATAAAAAAATTAAATGTATGCAAAAACACAAAATTTATGAAATTGAGTTTTTTTTTTTTTTTTCAGTTTGTGTTTTTCAACATTAAATTGCATTCAATTAAGCATTAAATATAGACATTAGTAAATGTTGGAGGCTACAAACTCAGGCAAATATCTTCCTAATTATTTAAAAATATCAACAAGTGTTTGGTTCAATCAGTTAAGATTATTTTTTTTAATAAAAAAATTTTAGTTTCGAGTTTTATCGATGATCATTTGTTATGGTCATTATGAATACATGACTTATAATTATTTATTTTAAATTATCAGATACGATACATTTTATTATGATCTGAAAAATTAAATAATTTATTTATTTTAAAATTTTTTTTTACTAAAAAAATTATTTAAAAATAATCCGTGAAAGTTTTATTATTTTATTTTAAAATAAATAAAATATTTTTAATTAAATATAAAATTTATGGATAAATTTTAAATATAAAAATAAATAAAATTAATTTAAAAAATAAAAATAATTTAAATAAAATTAATCAGAAATAAAGATGACAATAAATTAGGTAGAAAAATATTTTTATTTGTCACCTGTTGCTCTGTACTAGTCCGACTTTCCAAAATCGGCCTAAAAAAAGATGTTGGTAACGAACGGATCAACTAGCACAACCAGAGTCTTTTACTTGCCATATCCGTATACTATTCTTCTTCCAGTAATCTTCTATTTTATCTTTGTTATTTTTACACTTTTACCCACATATATAAATCGGCTTATAAAGCTTGATTAGGATATACATGGTGTAGGCCCCGTTGTTCTAATTATGAGCCCAAATTTCATTGTCACATGATACATGTGACCAAATATTTTTTAGGTAAAAGAAAATTTAAATATAGATAAATTGTTTAATTTTTTAGATCAAAATAAAATGTGTTGTATTTGATAATTTAAAATAAATGATTATAAATTATATATTCGAGATAATTTTAATAAATAATTATCAATAAAATTTAAATTCAAAATTTTTTAATTAAAAAAGATGAATTTTAATCGAATCAACTAATTACTTCTTGATAAATGTGATCAAATTTAGAGTCGTGCTTTTGACTTTTACTTTAAGCAAGGTTGTACTTATCCATTTGCCATAATTTTTAAAAGTTTTGTAGCATCCTTTTTTTTCAGCTTTGACGCTTAAAAGAAAAAGAACACCTGAAACATTCAACCCCACCATTAACTTTCATATTGGGGTGGGTTATTGACTTACTGTTATAGTCAGTCAGAAGGGTTAAAATTTGTCTCACTTCAATAATTCAGATAAATTGTTTTTAATCAAAAGTTTGGGGACTGATTATAAAAGAAAGCTGTTCAGGATCAGGGGTCAAATTACAGTAGCATAGATTGTTCTGTTCTACAGCAATTGCTGAGTTAAATTGTTATGTTCTACAGCAATCGAGACGACACTATGGTCAATTGAGTGGGGGATTGCGGAGCTTGTGAACCATCCTGAAATTCAGAAGAAGCTGCGCCACGAGCTTGACACTGTTCTAGGAGTTGGTCACCAGATCACTGAACCTGACACTTACAAACTCCCATATCTTCAGGCCGTGGTCAAGGAGACTTTGAGGCTCCGAATGGCAATTCCTCTACTTGTACCCCACATGAACCTCCATGATGCTAAGCTCGCCGGCTATGATATCCCTGCAGAGAGCAAAATCTTGGTGAATGCATGGTGGCTTGCCAACAACCCTGCTAACTGGAAAAATCCCGAGGAATTTAGGCCTGAGAGGTTCTTGGAAGAGGAATCTAAGGTTGAGGCCAATGGCAATGACTTCCGTTACCTCCCATTTGGTGTTGGGAGAAGAAGTTGCCCTGGAATTATTCTTGCATTGCCCATCCTTGGTATTACTTTGGGTCGTTTAGTACAGAATTTTGAGCTCTTGCCTCCCCTAGGTCAATCGAAGATTGATACCACGGAGAAAGGTGGACAGTTCAGTTTACACATTTTGAAGCATTCGACCATTGTTGCTAAGCCAAGGGAATTTTAACTTCACGTGTATCTTTTTAGTGAACTCTTTGTGAGATTGTTAAAAATGATTGTGGAAACATTGTCTTGATAAATATTTCTGCGGTGTGACAGTGTATGTGAACCTGAAATGATGAAATAAGATTTGCAGTAAGTTTAATATTTTTAAATTTAATGTTCTGGTTCTATATTATTTAAGTATAATTGATAATTTAAAAAAAAAATTTAACTTATTTTTAAGCTTTATTTGAAGAGATAATTCCACGCTTAAATATTTTTTCTCCATGCGTGATTCAATCGATGATAATTAATTTAATATTAAATATTATATAAATCAAATAGCAAGAGTAGTGATTCGATTATGTTAATGTAAGTTTTATATTTTATATTTATAGATTAAAATTAAATTTATGATTAATTTAAATCAAAATAATATTTTTAATCTTAATCATTTTCATTAAAATATTAAAAAATATAAAATTTTTTAATCTTAATCATTTTAATCAAAAGTGTTTGCCTCCAACAACACTATATAATTAATGCATGTTTAATATTGAGCACATTTATTTGGTTTCATTCATTTATTATTTATAGAATTCTATTTTTTTCATTTGTCAAATTTTGATTGGTTTCTTATTAATTATTAATAACTATGCGTTTTGTCCTTAATGTATGGGCTCCACTCATTTCTTTTGGAAGAATGGACTTAGTCAATTGCAATATGGTTATGAAAATAAAGTGACTAATCATATACACGAGCTTTACTCCATTTTTAAAAAGAAAAAAAAAATGGATTGATTAAAGAGCATATACATTAGGATGAATATTGGTTATAGGTTTAATAGATTTTTTTTCGTTACCTATTATTATATATTATTATATATTTAATATTAGTTATTAATTGCAATCTAATTTTTAATTTGCAGATTTAAATTTGCAATATATATCTAATATAATAATAGTAGTAATAATAACAGTAACATTAAAATTAACTTATTTATTGCAATGTAAGTTGTATATTTGAGACTTAAATTTAATTTAATTAACTTGAATATAATATTACATATTACATGTTGCAAATATCAATAAATGGAAAAAATGAAAAAAATTAGAAAATAAAATAGTATGATTTCTTTTTTTTTTCCCTAAAATAATAAAAAAATCCGAAAATTTCATTACTTTTATTTTATTTAGATGACTCTTTATATTTTTATTGCATCAAAATAAACTCTTAACATTTACTTTGTACCAAAATAAACACTTGAATTTTAATTTATATCCAAATAAATCATTAGCTTTTAATTTATTCTTAAATAAGTCATTAATATATGTCAATTTTTTATTTGAAATAAAAGTATAATTGGGTATAAATTGAAGAATAAGGACTTGTTTAAATACAATAAAAATATAAAAATTTTAATATTGTATTAATTTCTAATAAGACAAAATTATAAAATGAGTTAATTAAAATTTAATGAGACTTTTTTTTTTAAATAAAAATTTAATGAGACTTTACATTGGAGCTTTTAAATTTAAAATGTTTCAGGAATAAATAGAAAACTGTTTTGGTTTAGATTTAAAACTATCATCAAATCTCACTATTTATTTTTCTTTTTTTTTTATTCTTTTGATAAGAGTGATTTTATTTATCTATTCATTGACAAATTTCATATTTTTTTCCATATTAATATTTTTACTTTTATTTTTCTAATCTTATAAAAAATTTAGTGGTTTCTCAATTGAGGTGATTGTAAAGTTTTGTTTCAAAGAATTTTAAAATTTTCATTAGACTTTTGGGTCACTTATATTGATGAAAGATTTAAGTTTAGAGTTCGATTATTCAAAATAAAAATATTTTGTGAAGAATTTCTTTGTTTACATTTACATCATTTCATAATTATTTACTTAGCTACTTGCTTGCCTGGCATGTTGCACTGACTACTTGAAAGACATTAGTGAAAAAGAATTGAGATCGTTGCGTGAACGACATTAGTGAAAAAGAATTGAGATTGTTACGTTTTCTTGGCACAACGCACGAGATAACAATTGGGTTTGATTGAAAACGACCTTGGAGTTAATTTTGAAATTGATGATTTTTGTGTACTATACGGGAGGAGATGTATGATTGATTAGATTTGATAATTTTAAATATGATACAAAGATATGATATAAAAATAAAAAAAATAAAAAATATATAATTTAAAATTTTAATAAAAATTATTAATAAAATTAAAATATGTATTTTATTTGTTCTGTCAACATAAATCGTTACATATAATTTATATATAAAATATAATACGAATATATAAATTTTAATATTTTATATAAAAATACAGAAATTGTTAAATCTAAGTTTAGTTTGGTTGAGGCCGACAGGTTCCATGAATAATAGGCTAGGAGCCCATATGAGAAGTTGGGTGGTGGGCTTGTGCAAGTGCATCATCAAATTCAAATCAGGTAAGCCCTGAGCCCTCTCTGTTCCCTATTCCCTCCCATAGTTTAAATTAAAATAAAGCCAATGTTTCTATACAAAATAAACTAAATCGGCAGAGATGAGACGAAATGACAGGAGATAGCGCAGGGCGTGAAAGAAGTACATGTGCAACCAAAAGGCGGTCGCTGTAAGGCGCAAATAAAAGCATTTGGATCGATCTGAGATATATGGATGGCCTTCCGCTTCATTCTCTTTCTTTGCAGAATCCGAGTGGAGTTTAACCAATTTATTTCTCTTTTACTATCAGTAATATCGCTATATCAGCCCAGGTAAGATTAAGATCGATCCTACATATCCATTAATGATTCTGAATATAGATTAATTTTCCTTCCTCTCTATTCTAAAATATTTCTTATAAAAATGGATTTTGTCCTCCTCTTTCTACCATCCATATTTCCTTTCCTTCATTAATTTATAAAAATGCTGCTTCCCGATTTCCGATTTGCGTTACTCTTTCTTTCTTAGGGTTTTACAGCTTAATTCATGTAATTTACTTGTATGCTGATTTGCTCAGCTTCTTCAACCATATAAATTTGTTCTGCGGCTGACGTAAACAATGTTGCAATGGATGGGAGGATCAAGACGGAAAGTCACAACGGTAAGCGTTACATAATTTGGATTGAGGTTTTTACTTGTTGCTACTCAGCACTGCCATTTTTAACTCACAACAGAGAATATATATATGTGTGTGTGTGAGTGTGTGTTCTCTTCTGTTTTGACATTAATTTTATGCAATGCTCTGTCTGCGGAGAACTTCAGTCAAGGAAGTCTACACAGAAGAGGTAAAGAACCTTATTCTAATTGTTCTTTGATTTGTTATTCATCAATTATTTTCCAAGATTGGCAACATAACATCCAATAAACAGTGATATACTTTTTTCTATTTCTATTCTAATGTCGAGGCAAAAGCAATACTTTGAACAAAGGAAACGACGACAACAACAACAACAACAGACTGCAGGTTCTGAGGGTTATGCTGATGAAACTAGCGTTGGTGGAAAGCATCAAAAGGAATGTCGGTCTCTAGATATTCTCAGCTTGCTAAACCTCTCAACTGTTTCTGATGAACGCAAGTCTTGTCCCAACAGCAGTAAGTGTCCAAAATTTCTACTGGCCAACTAATTTATGAAAATGAGACTGCTGGAAATTTCAAGCTGATAATGGGCTACATCCTTGTCCTCCATGCTTTGCTCTTTTGCAACACGCATTTAGCATTACCTTTTTTTTTTTTTTTTTTGTCTTGAAATGGTCTTCAATCAAATTTTCCCATCAGAGCCGTCCTTCCATATCTGTCACTGATATTTTTTCATTGCTTTATTTGATATCAAACTTAATTGATATGTAGCTTTGGCGCTAATGCATTATCCACAAATTTGAAACGATATGCTAATGTGTATCTACAAGGCAGCTATATCTAACTAAATATAAATAGACATATATGTAAGGGCTACCATGTGCTAGTCACAAGTCACAAGAAGTGCCTCAATAGAGCACTCTGCTTTTTTATACATTGATGGCTTGTGGCACAATGCTTTTTATGCATTTATTTTTCTTGCATTGTGTTTAAATTTGTGACGAGCTTTGTTTTTTGTTTTTCCTCAATATTCTAAGTTTTCAGCCATGTAAGAAGGGATGGTAAGATTGACACTTTAACAATGAAGTATCATATCCCAAAGGATCCAACAAGAGTCATTACAAATTCAGTCCCTCCTTCCTATTCTGTTGAAATTAAGCAAGCAGGTATTTATTAATATAAATCTGTGCTTAACTTTGTGAACTTAGTTCTGGCTTCTTTGGAATTCATAGGTATTCAGTGCATACTGTCATTATGCTGGCACAGGTGCTCCACCATCAAGCTACCAAGGGGATCCAAAGTAGGTGATTACTTTTATGTCGCTGCGATGGCGCTATGCATTCACATTTATGTAACTAAATTATCCAGACAGACATCAAATCTCTTTTCATTTGGATATAGTCATAGATGCTAGTTAGAGAAACCCCCCAAATTTAAACACGGCTACAATTATTTATATTAACAATTTTACATAAATATTTAACTACGATTGAGTCCGCTTAATTATATATAAAAAAACCTGAAAAAACTTATTTTGAAATAATAACTGTACATTGATTGAAATGAATTCGACTCTCTTGAATCATCACAAATGCTTGCTGACCTTGTGAAAAGTTAATGCTTTTGTTGCTACACAGGGTTTTATTTTGCAATCATGAAAATCATGCATTAAATGGAATCAATAGTAGTCCGGATCTGTGGAATGCAGCCACTGAGAAACGTAAGTTGTAATATTGGTTATTCACAAGATCTCAACTAATGGTTAGCAGTTGCCATATCTCCTGATGGAACTGTGGATGGCCAAAAAAGTATATGATCTTGTTTAGTTTGTCAGTAACTGCAGCACACTATTAGGATGTTTACTTAATGTTACATACTAAAATTTAGTTCTCTTCAAATTTTGCTTCCACTGTTTATTTTTCCAGAATTATCTGTTTTCGACATGCTTAATGATGAAGCATCAGAGGACAGTTCAGACAAAAGTCTGGTTCATGAAGCTCATGTTGCATTTTCAGTTGAAGGTATGATCTTACTCATCAACAATTGAGGGAAGATTTAAGGTAGTAGGTCATGTAGAAGTGAATTTTTTAAGAAACTGAAAGCAAACTTACATGAAGAACTGTTTTTTCTTTAAGTTTCCTCTTTTTATTAAACTTTATAACTGTTTGAAAAGAATAGGTAATTTTTGAATTGCCTCTGGATGTAAATAAAAGGGCAGGTAATGAGCCAAAAGCTGAACACTCTGGGAATGTCACAAAATAAGTGTATAACTTAGACAAAAATTGCAAAGAAAGTGACTGGAGTCTGAAATAGGAAACAATTCTATAACAGTCATCCTTATCCACTTAGACTCTATTGAACCTGCTAGTGCATCATTAAAGAAGGAATCTCTAATTTCATAATCCTTCTTCTCCTGTATGTTACCAAGAACTGATGCAATGATTTTGGTTTTGAACATTTTCCTAAAAGCATGCTACTGTTGAATTCTATGTTAGGCTTTATTTTCGTGGCCTTAATAGTTCTATTGCTTGCTTTGCTGTATCAGGTTTAGGTAAGATCAGAACAGAGACCCCACTGCATTCACCAAAGCAACAGACCAGGTAATGTGTAATTCACAAAATCTCTCATCTTCCATATTGATCACATGCTAGATAATTGGTTCTTGGTGGTAACAACTGTTAGTTTCAGTTTCTTAGACTACTTTCAGCGTCATAGTTGCCATAAACTGCAACCTGTATCAATCTAATTGTCTGTTTTCCATTTCAAATGGTATTTCTACTTCCAAGCTGCAAGTAACTGGTTCTATAAATTATAAATTAAAATCTGCGGTCTATCTACGTAAAAGAATCATAAAAGAAGTGAATATGAGATTTCTCCAAAGATTTTTTTTTTTTTTTTTGTGGCCAATGCGTGGAATGTCTGTTGATGGATATGATTTGATTGTTGAGGTATTGACTGGGAAAGTGCAATTTCAAGTTACATTGCTGATATGGCTCATTTAACTGTTGTAAGATGTTTCAAGGTGTGCCTGAGAATGATCCTTTTATGATTTTCTTACAAATTTTAATTTTTTTTCATGAAAAAGAATAGATGATAAATTTCCTAGAAAAATTCCTTATTGCTTTTGGGTCTCCAAGAGGGAAATAGTTAAGTTCCTTTGATTGCACAAAGCTGGACGGTGCTTGTTAAAAAAAGTCAGAAGTGCTCAACAGATTTGTAGTCATCAGTTCTCGTTTCTTAATATTTTTCTGTTTCTCTTTAATATCATGTGGACTCTAATCAACTTTTTTTGCTAAGCCAAATATTTATTATCGCAACCAAAAGTTGCGAAACTAGAAAAAGCTAGCAAAGAAAATAACAGAGTTCCAGTACAAACCCCAAAGAAAAACTGTCACCTCAGTGAGTAAAAGAAAACCACCCAAGCAGTAACAACTAACAACACTACACCATAAGAATATTAGAAGATTACCATTCCCAACTTTATTGCAGTCAACCGCACCAAATAATCTTTTAAATTCTATGAGAATGAGAACACGTTCTTTAGCAGCTACACTAATTGTTCACTTAAACAAAGTTTATTCTTTGAGAACCTAAAATTATAGAGTTAAAGAGTGGTAATATTTTATATCTACACATCTTAACTTTTTGCAATTGCAGAATCTCTTCTGATGATTGCTCATTAACCTGGAATGTTGGAAGGCAACTAAACTCATCAAAGAGTTCTAAGTCTGTACTGAATGATCTTGAACTAGAAGTGGTGAGAGCACTACGTCATCTACTCTCTAAGTTTCTTATTCCTATATGTTCTGTAAATTCATCCTTTACTCAAAAAATGATCTTCATGTGAGAGCTAAATTCTTTCTTTTTCACTTTACCTTGCTTCTGCAAGTTTTGCCTGGTTTGAAAAGTTTGGTTCAGCCATAGTTCTTAAGTATTATATAGAACAAGTCATGCAAAGAAGAATAACTTAGTAGCATATAGATATACAGAACTAGAATTTATGTGTAACTTTGGCCTGCATAAAACTTAATGGCTGAAAGGATCTGCTTGACAGGAAAAAGAGACAGACTAATTGCAACGCTGACCTATTTCACCACAATAGTCTCCCAAGAATATATATACATTCGAATTATGCATCTTAATGTTGTTTAAACTTAAATGCTGGAGTCATATCAGATGAAATGCTCAATTTTTTCTTCATTTGTTCTTGTAAGTCTTCACTGAGTTGAATGTAATTGTATGTCCCTTAAACATTAAACTCTAGTTTCGTGTCTTAATTTTGGTTGAGATAGAACTGACTATTATAATATGTGCTAAATGCAGGAAGTGATGATGCAGGACAACAATATTCAACTTGGTGGCAGTCCTTCAGAGTTTTCAATGGACACAATGGATTCACATGGAAATTGGAAGCCAGAGCTACCCACTGTCACAGACCACATGCAACTTTACAGCCATTGTAGCAACAGAAAGTGCTCTCTTGGTGATACAAACATTTTCTACAACAGAAGAAGAAGGGAAGATATATGGGATGGTAAATCTCAATTCTATTTGGTCTTAGTTGTTTTTTCCTGAATCACAATTCTTATTGTTCATTTCACACATTGCAAGAACTTATGACTAAGATATTCAGAAATTTTGTTTACCTATAATCATTAATTGTTCCGAAGATAGATTTTGTGTTATTCATGTACATCTCCTTCATCAAGTTTGGTTGACTTAATCATGAACTTAGCAACATCCCCTCCAATGGACTATAAATTTTGTCATCGGGCCACTTTTGTTCTCAGTGTCAATAAGTACTAGTTTGAACTAGGATTTTTATTGACAAAGCTTTTCTCCTATTTGTACCCCATTATACTGTTGGAGACTTCTGTGCTGCCATATCTGTTATTTCCTTTACTCATTTGGTTTGCCAGCTAGACTTAGCTTCCTGGATGATGACTTTCTCCATGAAAGGAAAGATGATGTTTCTTGGGAGTACCAGCCACACAAAATGGATAGAGATTCTGGAGATTTTTTGGAATATGAAAAGGGTGAGATTTCAGATGATTCTTTTGAAGCCCATCACATGCTGAAGAAAAGGTGATCTATCAACAGTGAATATCCTTGCTCTGAGAAGTAGGAGCATATATATATTTTTGATGAAGTGTTACATCTATGCAGGGATGTGAAAGCAACAAAGTTGAGAAGTTTAGGTGCTATTTCTCATTCAATCTATGGAATAGCTTAGCTGAATGCTTTGTAATCAGCAAAGTGAATAAGTTTATTATTATTTTTGCGTTATTGTCTTTTTTGCCGCTGTATGTTAATTTTGAAGCATAGACACAAATGATTAGTATTGGCTCTATCCAATGTCTTTTAAAAATTTGGAGAGCTATATACACTTAGTTGAGAAATTTCCAGGTGGTGATCTCCAGATACTTTGGATGAGTGGTAGCTAAAGTTACACCTAATAGATTGGAGTTACATGCGGATAATTTGTGTTTACCTTCTTTCTGATCATGCTATTATTCTTTCCTTGATGTATCACACTATGGTGAGAATTGTAATTATGAATGTAGAACTACTTTGCTATCATCTCTTATGTTTTCTCTTTGTCCATGATCAGAGCCACCTTCTCCAGAACGTACATCATCAGAAGTTGATCATCGATTCACAACTTCAATTGGTTTAAGGTATGAAAATTCTGGGGGAAACTCGGCTTTTTTTCTTCTTTTCTAAAAAAATTTGCTTTTGTATGGTCGCAGGCATAACCCAGTTCAAGGAAATTATGATACTAGAGATTTCGCAGGCCAACTAGATTGGCCTTTTCTTGAAACTGAAGATGCAAAGGATACTTTGAGCTTGCTGAGGTAAATTTCAGAAACTTTTTGTGTTTCAAGGTGATTTGGTTTGATGGTCCTACTTTACCTTACATGTTTCCTATTTCTTTTACCTAAAACTTTGGCAGTGAAGAATCATGCTCATCTAGCGCAGGTTACGCTACTGATTTCTAAGCTGCTTTAACTATTCGTTGTCAGTTTGTTGCAGTCCTTAAAGAAAAGCGCCTCTTGCGAAACTAAAGCAATCATTTAAAATATTTCATTGCAGTGAAAGGTGAAACAATAAACATTTCACCTCCAAATCAAATGCCTAGGCAGAGCAGAACAATAAGCAATACTTTTGGCAGAACTAGAAAGAAGTATGATATGGACAACGCTTTTGCCGTGGAAACACATTGCGAAGACGGGGATAATCTTGGGCAACGATCTAGAAAATGTGTGAGGACGCCAGTGCTTCCCAAGTCAAAAGCCACCAAATCCATAAGCTCTTGTTTCCGAGGGAAAATAGGACCATCTCAAACATGGTTTTTTGAGGAAGGATGCAATTCAGTTGATATAGATTTAGGTTTCAGTTCTTCTCATTGCACGTCAGAGGCAAACCTTCCATCTTTAGAATCCAAGCTGTGGACTGAAGATCCTATTGGTGCATTTCCTGTTCCTGAACTCAATTTTGATGTCAAATCTTGCTTTGCTAGACCTAAGCCCAGTGAATCTATCCAATGTTCTCCTTTTGGCCGTTTCACATCTGAGAAGTTTGCATTCCGCCAATCAATTAATCACAAAAACTCTTATAACTCTCCAGTATTCTCAAATGTTGGGTCTGGATCAATCCAGCGTGATTTATCTCGAGATTCTAGAATGCAAGGTGTTCCCCTGGATTCGTCCAATACCGCTGGTCCACATAGAGAGACAGGATTTCCTGATTTATCAGTACAACGAAGTATCAGGAGAGATGATAAAAGAAAATCAAATTTCCGACCAGCCAATTGTGAACAGTTTCCACTTGAAAAAGAAACTTACCCTGGAGATGATTTATTGTTTTCAGAGGACCCGATGGCAATGGATGGTTCAAATCCCAACAACAACGATGTTGAATGCGAGGAATCAAAGGATGGAACTCTAAAAGAAAAGGAAACATATTCTCCCGAGCATGGTGAGGAAGAATCATCATCTGTTAAGATCCATGACAAATCCAATAGCAGTCCAAATGAGAAAGGGTACTTACGACATACTTAGAACTCATGTTTCCAAATTGGCCGATTCTTTTCCTTACCACCTGACTGTGGTATGATACTGAAAGAAGGTGTTCATTGTTGCTAGATATAATTATGAAGAGATTCTTCTTCCTTGTCAAAGTGGGGCTGAAGGTATATCTTCTTTCTGTATACACGTTTTATTGTTTATTTGGTTTGTTATTATGTTGAACTTCCATTTGCCACTGTAAGATCTTTGATGTATACCGTTTGAATCATACGCCAATGCAGGACCGGAAAATGCTAAACTTGAAGAGGGAAAAGCGATAAGTGGAAGACAGAACAATGGTGAGGACTCATCATCTAAGCAGGTAATGATGCTTGAAAGCCATGTTATTCAACTTCTTTGCGTAGAGAAGTGGTAAAGGAGGCATCTACCTTAGGCATCATGAAGAAGGTATAAATAATACAAAACAAAAAAAAATCGCAGATTGAGTAACAGTTAACAGGGGATGCTTTCGATCCAACACTTTCACACTCATCTATGACTTTATACGCCCTTAGTCCCTAACTAGTAATATCGTGCGAAAATGGAGTTTGAGACTGTCAATTGTTCAAAACTCTATTGGGCTTTCTTGGGCTCAACCAACCAAGGATTAGAAAGAAGATTGATTTTGGGTTTTTTGGACTTTTAGAGATCCTGGTAGTCTGGAAAAGTCCTTCAAAGGTAATGGGGCAAGTGGCAACCACCCATTTCCATTATCCTTATTACCAGGTTTTCAAGAAGCCGAGCCAAGCCGAGGCAACAATTAACCAAGCATTTCTCTTTACTGCCACTCCCACACTACGTTTGTGCATGCATGCAGTTAATTGGCTTTGTCACATCAAAATTTCCTTTTCTTTTCTGTAACTCGATTTCATGTTCGCATTTGGTAGCTAGCAAAATTAATAAGAGAAAAAGATCAACTTTTCGATAAAAGCATGACTAAATTAAGACATTAATTTACAAAGTTAATGTTTTCTTGTTGTGTTAGTGACAATATATATATATATATATATATATATATCAATAGCTTTTTTTTTCTTTTATAGAAAGTAATAGCAATGAATTAAGAGTAGGGTGAGAGGATTAATTGTGCGACTGAAAGTCTTATTCGGTGATGATAAAAGATGCTGAAAAATTAACTAGGGGCAAGAGCTATGAAAAAGTCAAATCTTTTATGCAGATGGATGCAGTTCAAAATTCAACATTGCATGTTGCAACGTGACCCCAAACACAACAAAGAAGGATCAACGGGGGTGGATTCTTCTCCTGCATTATTGTTTTTGCTTAATTTGTGTATAATTGATTGGAGCTGGAGAGAGTTGCGGTGATTAGACATTAATAAAATAAAATAACTAACATGATAAACAGCCCATCTTTTGACCTCTAATGAGCAAGGAATCCTTCCATTTTTTTTTACTTACATACATACATATCATAATCATATTATATACTATATTATACATGCAAATATGCAATGGCATCTACTTGTCATCCGGTCATCATATCCATCCTAATACATATATTATATATATTTTATTACCTCCAATTAAAATCAACCATGGAGATGCACACCGATTAAACATACATGCAATTAATGATATTGTTGTTGAAGATGTCAACTTCACAGTAGTATGTTATATGTCATCTATATAATAATCTGAAAAGCAAATTGATTACTTAATAGGGGTAAAGCGAAAAAAGGGTTGTGAGAACCGCCACTTTAACTGTCAATCTGTCAGTCTCATGAGGCCTATTAGCATTTTTTTTATTATTAATTTGGGTTGGTGTTCAATACATTAAGATTGGATCTGTAGAAACTTAGAGAAAAAAAGAAGAAGAGAAAGTTAGGAGTGAAAAGGTAAAAAAAAAAAAAAATTCATTTAATAAATTTGAGTTTGGGTGTTATGTATGTGTCATATGTGCATGGAGTATGGACATAATTAATATTAAGAGTAATAAGACATAAGTAATGAATAGTGTGACAGAAAAAGGGTGCACCCATTGGTAAAAGGAAAAGAGGGCCGATCTTGATATCCAAAAGACAGGTCCCAGAATCCCAGGAAACGGCCGGGTGACTGGATCAATGTCCGAAAAGGAGAAAAGGGAGAGAAAAGAGAGGACTTTGGGTTGAGTTAAGAAGCGGTGTGGTGTGTCTTCAAGTGTCGTGCATGCATTTTATGCATCTGTTGCTCGCTGTTGGCTGTTGCTGACTTCGCTGTTGCTTTGCATGCACTCTCTCTCTCTCTCTCTCAAAACATAAAACTCAAACAAAAACACGTTTTCTTTGGGTTTTTTTTTTTTTTTTTTTTTTTTTAATGTGGAATTGTAGTAAGTAGTAACTTTAACAAGGATCGCACACATCCACCGCCACCGCCGTTACGCTTCTCTTCTCTTTGTTATACACATTTACTCATCCACCACTTGCCGGTTGACTCACTTCCTCTCCTTCTCTTCTTCTTCTTCTTCTTCTTCTTCTTCTTCTTCTTCTCGAGCTCCCTCTTCATTTCAAGTGAAGTGGGTTATTCCTCGTTGCTTCTCTGAATGACTGATTTGTTTTGATTTCAACAAGGTTGGTCGGTCGCTCGCTTTTTATTGTTATCATCGTGCTTGTTTTTTATTCATAATATTGAAAATTGGATATATGTTGTGCATGGGGATGTTGCGTTGATGAAATTATAATTAGACTTGTGGGTGAATTTGAAAGTGGTATTTTTTATTTGGGATTTGATTTGGATTTTGATTTGGATTTGGATAGAGAGCTTGAGCTGAATGGGGTCCAAGATTTGCATGAATTCCTCATGTGGAACTGCTACCACCCGTGAATGGAAGAAAGGATGGCCTCTACGATCTGGAGGATTTGCTCATCTCTGCTACCGTTGCGGGTACTTTAATCTTCATTCCTTTTTTTTTTTTCACCAATTCCATTTTGCATTCGACATTTTGGGTTTTGGGTTTTAAATTTAATGCTTTGCTTGCTACTGGTCTTTGGATTTATTTTATCACGCTTATTACTTTACGTTTTTCTTTTTTTTTTATTTTTTTTTATTTTCACTTTTCTCTAAATTGAGATTTGGCTCCCATGTATCCAATTCCAGGTCAGAATTTTTCATTTTAGAGTTTTACCCTTCTTAGGATATTTAGCGTGATTATGAAAGATTAAAAAGAAAAAACAAAATCACAACAAACTAAGGCCAAATATACTACTAATTGTATTATAATCTTACAATATGGGCTTATACGTGCTTTTGATAAAAATTGCACTTGCTATTCTTTCCAATCCCCTTAATGTTTTGTACATGTATACTGCAGGAGTGGAATTAGTACTAGTCCTAAGCAACTACTATCATCTCCCTTCCCCTACCACACCAGGAAAGCCCAAAAATAAAAGAAAAGTATAACTTTATAGACCCTATAAGCACGAAGGAAAACTTCGTGGTTAATCAAAAGATAAGATAAACAAGTTGTTTGTGCTTTAACTATTCAAATGATAACTGCATTTAGGTAATGATACTATAGGGATGATAATGGCCCTCTAAATTTTGAGTCATTATTTTGAGAAGTTATAGAATATGCAGCATCAAGGTATAAGTGCTGATGCTGCTAAGATGGGGGCTGCATGGAATTCCTCTCTTCTCCAAGGGTGTGCATTTGGTGCATGATTTTCTACCTTCAACTGAGAAATTGTTATTAAATAAGTTTATACTTTTAAGATGATAGTGTTATTTTGTTCATGTATTCACTCTTTCATTCTATTTATTTTCAATGCTTCCTCTTACTTTTTTTCCACGGTTTGTTCACTTCTGTGCTTAAGCTCTGCCTACGAGGATAATGTTTATTGTGATACGTTCCACGTGGAGGAATCTGGATGGAGGGAGTGCCGCTTATGCAGCAAAGTAAGCTGATAATCCTGCTAATCTTATTAAAGTTCAAACAATATTCAATTTTTTAACATTTTAAGTAATTTAATTTGGTATGGCAGCGTCTTCACTGTGGTTGCATAGCCTCCAAGTATCTGCTGGAACTCCTAGATTATGGAGGTGTTGGGTGTACCAGCTGTGCAAAGAGCTCGCGATTTCATTCGGTTAGAAGAATTCAGGTACTTTTTTCCCACTCGTCTGAAAGATTTAGTCACCTGGTTTCGTAGTATAAAATCATGTTTTGATGTTTAACATGAATTTTCCTTTCCTTACTCATCTATGAGAACCCTGGTTCAAGGTCATGGGAAAGAGTTGATGCTTCTTTACACCTACTTGGTTCTTCTACTAGTTTTTTTTTTTTTTCTTTGGTATGCTGAGTCGGTTCTAGGAAGCAATATTTTAACAGTAGAAATGGCACATTATTGTATTGGTCTTTAGACCATTTGATGGGTTGTAATCTTGTTGCTTCCTACTGTTATTTTCTCTTCTGTGATGCAGACTCATGGGGATGAAATTCCCAAAGGATTTAGTGGATTGCCAATGAATAATGCTGGATCCATTGCTGTTGAAGGTAAAGCAGTTGGTGATCATGTTGATGAGAGAACACTTGCCCAATTGTGCAAAATCATGGAGGTTACTGAATGCAACCTATTGCCTCAATCTCAGAGAGGTGATGCAAATGCATCTCTTGGGCAACGCAGAGGAGAGGAAGTCACGTGTCCCATTGGGGAAGTGGGTGCTGGGTTTTCAAATGCTATGCAACCATATGTTCAACCACCTAGCTTTGCAAAAACAAACAATGCCAGACCAGCATTAGACATTAGAGATCTTCATGATTCACTTTCACAACCTTCTTTGAATATGACTTTGGGAGGACTATCTGGGAATCCAAATTTTGCACTACCTTTTCCCAGTGGGCTAGCTGATGGAAAAGAACAGGGAAAAATGGCTTCCTCTTTTCAACAAGGGCAACGATCTCGTCCAATATTGCCCAAACCCTCAAAAAATGGTCTAGCAACAAGTTCAGAGGTGAATAAAAGTGTGGTTCCCCAGGCACGGATTGCAAGGCCACCGGTTGAGGGGCGGGGGAAAAATCATTTACTTCCTCGGTATTGGCCAAGAATTACTGATCAAGAGCTGCAAAAACTATCGGGAGAGTATCCATGAATGTTAGCTTAAGTTTCTAATTTTGGTTTTCTTAGAATAATATCTTTTTATGTGATATATGTAGTTTTTGGTAAGTCTGTTGATTCAAATGTGTTGTTTACCTTAAGTTTGCAATTTTAAAGTTTAAAATCTACCATTGTGCCACTATTTGAGAAGGTTCTAAGTGCCAGTGATGCTGGTCGAATTGGTCGATTAGTGCTTCCAAAAGCATGTGCTGAAGTAAGTTTTTAAGTTACTCACTTTGATGCCTTTTCCTTGCCCTGCACCCTAACCTCCCCAACAAACTCCCTCATCTCCCCCTCTCCAATCTTTTCCTCGTATTGCATTTGCATGAACTAGAAATCAATGCAGGCATATTTTCCTCCCATTTCACAATCCGAAGGCCTTCCTCTAAAGATTCAAGATGTAAATGGGAAAGAATGGACGTTTCAGTTCAGATTTTGGCCAAATAACAATAGTAGGATGTATGTCTTGGAGGGTGTAACACCTTGTATTCAGTCCATGCAACTTCGAGCAGGCGATACTGGTATGTTTTGTTCCTTTATTGTTAAGAGCATTATGTATAACTTTGCTTGATATCTAGGCTACTGTATCTTATTTGCTTTTTATAGATAGTTCTTTTGTGAAAAAATATGGATTTTTTTTGGTGATGCTCCATACAGAAAAGCTCATAGTGGTTTTCTGGTGGAATAATTCTGTGACCAATGAAACAACTTTCTCAAGCATAAAAACTTAGGAATGAAATGGACTATTGTTTTGCTCAAAAGTACATCTAGAGACTAGAGCTGAGAACGAAAAGAGCATGGTTCAGACCTTGAGAGCGGTCATTTGATGCACTTTTTATTTAACACGCTCTTTATCTGAAGATGTTAAAAGATGAATTGTTTCTTTGAAGGATCTCACTTGATGAGACTATAAGTAGGAATTGTCCCTTTATGATTCTCGAAGGGATAAAACCCTCCTCCATCCCCCCCATTTCTCGTGTAGCCTATATGACTCCACAATCTCATGTAGATATCTGAATCTGTTGGCTTTATGCTATGTTAATAGTTAGTTTCCTCAACTCCAGTTAATAGCTTATTATGGCTTTCAACATCTTTAAGTATTTATCTAATGTGAGTAACTGTTTTCTCATGCTCCATACATAGCTATGGAAATTATAACATTGCTGTCCATTTATTTTCATATTTTAATAGTTATTTATGTTGAGAAACAGATAAAAATGTTAAATTTCTCCCTTAGGGTGCTCTGAAATTCTTTTCCAATAGAATTGAAGAGCAAAAATACTACTTGCCTCCCCCCCCCCCTTTTTTTTTTGCTTCTTTGCAGTTCTGTCTGTGGTTTGTGATTTTGGATTTTTTGTGTCACAATATGTGCGAGCTTCCTTATGTATAATTTTATTGACTGTTAAGATATTTTGGTACATATAGGAATTCTCTTTTGTTAATAACCTGATAGCTTTCTTCCATATTCTGCTACATCATGCTAAGATATTTTGGTACATTTAGGAATTCTCTTTTGTTAATAATCTGATAGCTTTCTTCTATATTCTGCTATGTCATGCTAGTGGGAAGTCAACTTGTACTGCAGACCTAAAGTTTTCTTTCTCTTATTTACTAGTAATAAAATTCTCTTCTATTGCAGTAACATTTAGTCGAAAAGATCCTGGAGAAAAACTTGTTATAGGGTTTCGAAGGGCGACAAACACTGATACACAGGTGTTCATGGCAAATTTAAATTTTTTAAAGTCATTCTCATATTCAGACTTTAGAAATGATTGGATTTCTTCTCTAAACTAATAGTTTACATGAACATGTATTTCATAAGCAGGAAGGCCAGACATCTTCCCTTCCTAATGGTGCACATTCTGGGGAAACTTCACATTCTGGTGGCATTGAGAATTTGTCTACAGTGAGTGCTTATTCCGGTCTTCTTCAGACCCCAAAAGGTGGCAAGGGTCCTCTTCTAAATGCTCTGTCCGAACATTTGGGTTTACCAGATGGAAATATTAGTTGGGGTAGAGGTGATAACCATGGAGATGGAGCAAATGAGGATCCAATGCAGCAGCCAGCAGTGAATGCAGAGAAGAGGAGGACAAGAAATATTGGGTCCAAAAGTAAGAGGTTGCTGATGCATAATGAAGATGCGTTGGAGTTAAGGCTTACATGGGAAGAAGCACAGGACCTGCTTCGACCACCCCCAAGTGTTAGGCCTAGCATTGTGACTATTGAGGACCATGAATTTGAAGAATATGATGTATGTAACAGTTACAGTTTTCCTTTGATGAAATGATGCCATGATGGTTTGCCAACGCAAATTCATATTTTACCATGTTTATTTGTAGCTGTGTGATCAATGCTGTTTGTTTTATTTAGGAACCCCCTGTTTTCGGAAAGAGGACCATATTTGCTGCCCGGCCTTCTGGGTAAGACTTAATGATATATTTCTCTATATTTTCTTGTTAGAGTATTGGAAAGATGACAGTTGACAAAATTATTATCCGGTTATGGTATTTATCTATATTTTTCAGTTCATGGTAGAGCTTGAGAGATTATGGTTAGGTTATCTTTAGCGAATGAATTTAAACTCTAAACATTATTTGAACATGTGTGACAGCTTTCTTGAGTCTATTGCAGAGCTCTAAATTTTGGAGCTATTTCTTGATTATGCATACTGACAAAGTTTCAATGTTGAAAAGCCTTCCTTTTTAGGGTGTCAAGCCCTTGAATTTTCAGTTTGGAAAACTTTGATTTCATATCCACGCACTGGTCTGTTATCTCTCTAGTTTTTTGTTGTGCGGTCTCTTTCAAAGAAAAACTTTGACTTTTTTAATTTCCTTCCATGTTTTTGTTCTTTTTTTTTTTTTTTTTGAACTTAGAATGATATCATTTCATAATGAATTATAGTTTCATAAATGCTGGAACTTTAAGATCTCACATTGCTGCAAATATGATAAAAGAACATTTTCATATGATTTTTTTCCTAAATACATACATATAATGCTGAATGTTATTAGGACTTCCTGTAGGGGACAGGAGCAGTGGGCCCAGTGTGATGATTGCTCCAAATGGCGTAGGTTACCTATAGATGTTCTTCTCCCTCCAAAGTGGACATGTTCAGATAATGTTTGGGATTCAAGCAGGTGCAACATTTTTCTTTCGTTTTTTGTGTTGTGAGATTGCTACTGATGGGATGTATCTGTGAGATGAAAATTTTTTTTTTGATGTTTGTGCTACACTGATTCAATGATGTGCTCCTAGGTGTTCATGTTCTGCACCAGAGGAGATTAGCCAAAAGGAACTGGAGAATCTTCTTAAAGTGGGTAGAGGTAGGACGCTATTTCAATGGCTCATTGTGCAAAATGGTTTTAGGAAAATGAAGCAGGTGTTCTTTCTAGAGGGAGACGGTTCTTGAATGCTTGTTATAAATGATCCTCTATTTATATGTGCTAATGCTCATTAGTTCTGCAACATTCAAGCAAGTAGACGGATGAAAATCTGTATGCCATGCTATTTGACCAACTTACCATTACTACAAGTCTCTGTTGAGTTCTGCTTTGTGAAAAATCCATGAATTTGACAGTGATACATTATTTCTTTTGGCATGAATAGTCTTTTTTTTTTCTTTTTCGGCATGTATAGTTGTGTCCTATACGAAATTCATGATACCACTTAACTTCCATGTATACCTTTTTCCAGATTTGAAGAAGCAAAAACTTCCAGAAAGCCCTAAGCTGGCCCCTGATTCTGAACCTTCAGGCTTAGATGCTCTGGCTAGTGCTGCAGTTTTAGGAGACAAATTGGGCGATGTGGGGGAGTCTTCAGTTGGAGCTACAACAAAACATCCCAGACACCGCCCTGGCTGTACGTGCATTGTTTGCATTCAGCCTCCAAGTGGAAAGGGAAAGCACAAGCCTACATGCACCTGTAACGTGTGCTTGACTGTAAAGCGCCGGTTTAAAACGCTCATGCTACGGAGGAAGAAACGCCAATCTGAACGTGAGGCAGAAATTTCCCAGAAGGATAATAATGAGCACAAGGATGAACCAGAGCTGAATGACACAAGACACGGTCATTCAGAGAATGAAGGAAGCCAAAGCAGAATTCAAGCTGAGGTGGCTGAGACTAGCACCGGACAAATAGATCTGAATTGTCACCCCAATCGTGAAGAGCTGCAACTTGAAGTACCAGGATTGAATATGACGAGTCTTGTTCAAACTACCGGCATGCCAGTAGAAAATTATATAAAGCAAAATGGGATTGCAAGCTTAATGAGTGAGCAACAGGGTAGCCTTACTTCTCATTTACTGTCACAAGCTAATAGAGAGAATGACAGACACCTTTCAGATGAAGAGTTTCTTGCATCTGTTGGATGGAAGCGTGACAACAGAAGTGATGAAGGGCATAAGGAGTCCAGTATGGAAAGAAATGGTCTTCAATGATAGTCTCCTCCATTTTCTACTTTTTTGTTTTTGGGTGGGTTTATTTAACAAGTATAATAGTTTTGTTTTGCCTTTTTCCAATTTGTTGTGTTCGTCTCATACCTCCACATGCACTGTAATTTCCTTGTTAAGTTGCTCCAAGTAAAATGTAACTGATAGATCATATGCCCGAAATAAAAAAAAAAAAAAAAAAAGTGGATATCATAAAACTAAACGGAAAAAAAAAAAAAAAAAACACATTAATTTTTCCATATATCGATTCAGCAATAACTAATGATTGCTCAGTTTCTTGTCTAAAATAAAATAATCAATCATGTTTCTTTATATATTTATAGGATTATGTTTGCCGAAATATATTTATTGGATTTACTATCTAACTTGTAAGTATCGAATTGCGATCCCTTAATGTCCGGTAAATATATATACAAAATTTATCTGAAACTTATGAAAATATATATCTTAAAATAAGAGTGCTTTTGAATTTTTGTTATTTGCTGGATGAATTATGATATAACCTCCTTTGATAATGATATACAATCACATAGATGGTAGACGCGAAAAAAAAAATTTGTTTTAAGTGTAATGTACTCTGTAATGAATAAAAAATATGATATTTACCTATTATTTGAAAAGAAAAAAATTACTAATGTTTTCGGTTCTAATATAATTAAAATAAAAAATTGAGTCAAATTAAAACAAATTAAAATGTGTCTCAAGTTGATTTCCAAACATCTTAACAATATTTATATACGAATCACACAACTTTAAGTTAGTCAACTATTAACCAATTCAAATCAGTCATAGAATTTCCACATAGTATTGGACAAAAAAAGAAACGATAGAAGAGAAATTTTATATATATTCTAGAGAAATGTCCCTGCTTTGCTATAGGTAAAAATTGTTTGTTTTGTCATCTTTATTTATTGTATTTTTTATATAAAATATATTTAATAAAAAATAAATATACTTAAAATAAAAAAGTGAAAAAATAAGAAAATTAAAAATTTAAAAATTTAAAAAAAAAACTCATATAAGGTTTTACATTGACACTCTATATTGAATTCAAAATATTAATTTATTAAATTAAGATAAAAATAATTTTATTAATACAATATATATATGTATAAAATTAAATAAATATATATATATTTACATATACTTACGTCATAACATATAAATCCATAAATTTATGATTAGACCTGACTTAAGAGAGTCATCACTAATTTTTTTATTTTAAGTACAATTGATCACTTAAGTAAATTTATTTTTTTAAGAAGTTCCTAAGCTTAACTAAAAGTTCGTAAAGAATAGGTTCTGACTTTCTAAACAAAACTAGGTTCAGAAGTTAAATTACGTGTGGGGAAGATTATAGTACCCCTATAATGCTCATCCTAAGATGATGCCATTTTAATTTTAAATTATCTTAGCAATCATCTTGATTCTATCGGTCTTGATTGATATTGGAAATAACTTTTAAGACTTTCTATCAATCTGGTAAAATTTTTAAAAATATTTTTTCAACTCGAGAGTATTCTAAAATCTTATTTGTTTTCTTGAAAATGTTTCATTGTTGGAAAGTTTAATCAATTATATTTTTTTATTGAAAATATATCTAATTCTTCCATCATTTGGACTTAAATTAGAAATATTTCATACCTAAAAATCTTTTAAATAATCATCTATTTGCGAGTACTAAAAATTTCATCATTAAAATTTATTTTTTTATTTTACAAATTTTATTTCTAAATTTTCAGCCATTTGAATTTATTTAAAAAATTTCTCACTTAAGAATATTATAGAAATTAACAATTTGAAATTTCTATAAATTTCATTATTTGACAATTACTATTTATTCATAAAATTTTATTAATATTTTATTTTATTTCTATTTTTTGTAATTTTTACAACTTTCTTAAAAATTTAATCAAGTAAAGAAAACCAAAATAAATAAACAAATAAATAAATAAATAAAATACCAAATAAAAGGAAATCAACTCGACTTTAGGGGCTAGAAGGCTCGGTTGGAATGACTCAGCTAGTGCTTGATTCAGTTAAATAGTTGGCCCAACAATTTAAGAAATCCAGTTTGGGTGTGCTACAAACCGAGTTTACTCACAGATCTTCCCAAATCAACACGTGGATCTTGAATAATTTTAAACTAAAAAACAACATCATTTCCTTATACTACAAAAACTCAAATTTTCATTTTTTTTTTCAGATTTTGCCTAGACTTTTCTCTCTCTCTTTTTTATCTATTCTCTCTCTAAAAAAAGATGAACTTCAGTTGAAGCTTCACCAAATTCTGAAAAATGACATCGAAATCTGAAAATTTTCAATGGAAGATCCATTAGAACCTGGGTTTGATCGTTGGGTTCTACAATTTCCACACTGAAACTTAGGATTTCCATCAAAAATTAGGATTTTGTCTGAAAACTTAAATTTTTTTTATAGAAATCTTCAATTGAATTCTGAAAATTTCCAAAATTTGTCAAAAATTCCAAAAAAAAAAATTAAAAACACTAATTGGACCCTTCAATCTTTCAAAATCCTTCTAAACCACCTTTCAAACTAGTCAAACCCTTAATTGCATGAAAGCCTCCTAAAAATCTCTGACAAAACTTTGTTTTCCTTTCAAAAATTTTTTGGTTGCTTATTAACTACCCTTTTTTACTTTTTCTACCTTTCAGAACATGTTATTCTCTGTTGATTTGTATGTTTATTTATAGGAAACAACTAAAAGAGTTCCTGATTAACCATAACTCAATAATTTGTGTTATCATAAAAAAATTTTTTTGTCTTTTACAAATTAAAACTTACTACAATTTTGAAAACACCTATTCACACCAAAAATATTTATGTTCAATATTTATTTTTTTAGAACTCTCTTCTCTTTTTTTTTTTTAAATTATTACTATTATCTTAACACCTAATTTGATAATACATAAAAACTAAAGATAAATCAAATCAAAAAACAAAAAATCAAAGATAAATAAAAAATGAATAAATGAATAATCAACAAAAAGATAAAATGAAAAAATAAATAAAATAAAAAACCAAATAAAAAATGAGTAATTTGGCTTGATAATTTGGACCCTATTGAGCCAAGCCCAATTGATTCAGACTTAAACCAAATAGGGTGTCAACAGTTGTCACTCTTTACTCTTTTTTATGTAATAAAAATTGTGCAAAGACATAAATAACCTATTATATCCAGCCATGGCTTAGCAACAATTACTAAATCTTAAAACTTCAAAGATTCACAATTTTAAACTATTCAAGAACTTCACAATTTGACAATTCGCAATGCAAGTTGAGACTCAAATATTCACAATTAAAGTGCAAATAATCACCATTTTGAAATTCAAAGGTTCGTAATTTAAAGATTCGCAAAGTTCAAAGGTTCGTAAGGCTTTCAGATCACAAGAATTTTTAGTTTCACAAGAATTTTTAAATTTGCAAGAATTAAACATTCATAAGAATTAAAGATTCATAAGAATTTGATTGTCAAAATTTTAGATTTGCAAGAACTTAGATTCATAATAATTTTTAGGTTCGCAAGACACAAAGATCGTAAGATTTTCAGTTTTGCATTTGATAAATTCACATCCAAAGTTTAATTTAGAAATTGGCAAGAACTCAAATTTGCATCAAAGTTACCAGGCTCACATCCAACATTTAAATATTTACTTTCTAAAATTCTAGAGATTCACTGTTAAAGATTTTTATTTGAAAAACATTAAGGGTTCACTTCTAAGATTTCAAATATTCCAATTCAAAAATTATTGTGTTTCACTATGATATTTCTCATTTAAAAACTTCAGGATTTCATCCAAATTTTCAAAGTTTCTCATTCAAGTTCAAAGATTCACATTCAATAAATTTTAGAGTTTCATATATGAATTCAAAGGTTCACATTCGATAAACGTTTAGGATTCACATAAAAAACTTCAAGATTCTCATTTAAAACTCAAATATTCTTTTTTAAAACTCAAAAATAAAGATTCTCATTCAAAACTCAAAGATTCTCATTTAAAACTTAAAGATTCTTATTCAAAAAAGTTATGAGTTCATATCCAAAGTTCAAAAATTATCATTTGAAAACTTTAGAGATTCACAACAAAAAAACTTTAAGATTATCATTTAAAACTCAAAGATTTTTTGTTCGAAAGTTCTTAAGGATTATACTTGATGATCTTACAAATCATCTTCAACATTAAAAATGTTCTTTAAAAAGGCTATACCACTTTAAAATTCTAAACATTTTCCTCATAAAACATTTTTTCATTTGAGGATTCATAATCTTATTTTAAAAAGCTTTCCTCAAAAAGTTTAAAATTTCTTGCCATAAAAATTCTTAATCTTTCATCAAAGTCAAATTTTGGTAAATAAAAAATATCGCGATAATGATGCAAATGTTTTCTTAATGATGCAAATGCAACAATCTAAATTCTTATAATAATGCATATGCCATACTCTAAACCATGATTCAAATGTTTATTACATGATACAAATGCATGGCCAGTTAAGATTCAAATATTTATCAAATTATATACATGTATTGTTCAAACAATAATGCAAATGTAATGTTTGTAATGCATATGTCACTAACATTAATGTAATGAATTTTTAATTAATTATGGCAATATGGTTCGTAAGACTTCACCGTCTCATATTTCCTTTTTAGCATCTTAGCACTAACAATTTCAGAACAAATTCCATCCACTTATCCATATTATTTCTATCATTTGATCATAACTCACAGGTTATGTTAACCAATCCATCACCATATTCATTATTTGGTCACCTTATGTGTCTTTTCAAATTATCTTTTCAGGTTTCTTCCATCTTTTCATTTTCCTTTTGTTTCTTGAATTTTTTTTCAAAGGAATGTAGAAATTTTTATGAACATTATCATTCATTAATTACCATTCCAAATCATGACAAATATAATACAATTATACATTTCATTGATTTATTCTGGGAATGCAAAAATAAGAGAGTACAAGGTGAATGGGGAGAAAAGTAATTAATACAAAAATGAGTCTGACAAAAATAAATGAGCAAAGGAATAAATTCAAAGCATATCACTAAGGATAAGTATATGAATGGTGTAACAATGTCCAAACAATGAATATTTAGATAATTTTTAAGATTAATTCATAATTCTTTTTTAAAAACTCATTCCATTGATTTT